AAATGTGACATTGTGCACTAGCTGTAGCTGGAGGCAGACTAGCCTTGCACATGACACACTGTTGGGATTTTTTTCAGTTCTGTTAAGGGAAAAAAAGTATTTTTGTTTTGGTAATTGAGAATTTTGTTAATTGAGAATTGGGAATTTGGTATTTTGTACAGCTATTCATTTCAAATTATTTACCTTGACAAACTACTAAACATCTAGCAGTCATTTTTTTTTGCTGCCCAGATCCCTTTCAAATGAAAAGTCCTGGCCTTCTGTACTGTCAAGAAGCTTCTAAAAACTGCTGCATCTATGGTACTGGAAAATAATCTGTGTGTGTGTGCTGCTTTGTCGTCTTGCTGCTCTCAAACTGTACTCAGCACAACTCCAGTGGGGAGTTCAGTCTATCTGTTTCAAGTCACAGTGTGATCCTTTTAGAGAAGATTGTGTGAGAAACAAAGGCATTTGAGGTCACCAAGATCACAGGTCTAAATGGGTCAGGAATTCCAGGGAAGAACCTCTGAGAAAGAGCTAATTTTCTAAGTGATTAACCAGGAAATGCTCTTACTTCCTAACCCAGCATTCTGTTTCAAGAGCAAGGCATCCGGACGTGGACCATCCATTACACTTAACAGCCCCTGATTCTTTTATATTAATGGGAGCATTCTATTTTCATTCTTTCTTTAATTTTACTGATACATTATCATAAATGGTAAGAAGGTTTTGTTAATATATCACTTATTTAAGTGTCTTCTAAAGAAAAATATTTAACTTGTTTAATATAATTGTATTTATAAATGCTGGTAGATTTAAGAATTTTAAAGCTTTATATTTTTATTAGTATTACAGGATAGAAGGATAAAGAATGCATGTGTAATATTTTTATTTTGAAGGGGGAATGTACAATGTGTGAACAAAAACATTAAGAGATTTAAGACAGTGTTTTCTTATTTTAGATTTTTACATTCAGTAGGTATAAATTCTCATCTATGTAAGATATTGTGTGCAAATTTTGGGAGAAACTGATTAGTAGTCGTTTAACAGGAGCTATACTTCTGATATTTTTAATTGTTTATGTCTGGTTTAAGCTGCTGAGAGAATTTTGGATAGTGGGATAGACTATAGCATTTTTATCTTATCCCCTCTATAGGAGTCTAAATTCGAGTAGTAGGATTGTGGGACTGGTTTTTAGGAACGGGATCTTGGATGTCTGTTTCCCAGTGGTTGAGCCCTTGTTTGTTCACCCAATGACAGCAAGAAACTTTCTGATTTAAAGTCTTTTAAATTGACTAGAACTGTCTTATTGGATTCTGTTTCATTTTTCCTAATAAGCACTGCAGAAACAAAAAGAAAGCCTAGGAATATGAAACTAATTAAAAAGAAAAGGCACGTAGTGATATGATATAAGTACTATGCTAGCCATTGTGGGTGTAACAGTTCATTTCATAAATTGTGTTGTGCCTTCCCAATGATGTCAAACCCTAGAAGTGTTACAGAGATAGTAGTTTTTTGGAAAACAGTGAGCTTTATATTGGTCTGCAGTGACTCAGTTTAGATATGAAAGTAGGTTCCAAAAAGTGACCTGTTTGGTTCATCTGTTTAGACTAGTTGATGCCCATGTGATGGGCATTTATTCATATTTATTAGCAAGGTTTAAAAGATGAACAGATTATCAAGACTCCTACATCTTTTGGCCAGACTGTGTATTTTGGATACCCAATTTCCAAATGAAGGAACTTTGCCTTTTCTCAGTCATGTTGAAAAGCTGATATACTGTGTAGGTGATATTCCTTCCCTTAAATATGCCTTTCTTAGCTTTGTATATGTTGAAAAAGATATCTTTTGAGAAACATGTATCAAGCAGGAACCTTGGCATGGATTTGATTTCAGTGGTTTTAAGTCTTAATTAATGAAATGTCTTTATCAGCTTTCCAAACTTTTAAAATATAGGAATACAACAGACCAAGGAGCTGGATCTCCTGCTTTACTCACATGCCTGCTACCTATCAGCTAAAGCTGTCATCACTGACTTGGGCAAAATGGCAAAAGATAAAATAAAATCTTTGTGTGAATTAACCAGTAGGGTCTGACACATACTAACAAAGTTCCTGACCAGCACCTCAGTATTTTAGCACCTTAAGCACAATAAATTTCAATCAGTCAATAAAGTGAGTGTTTCAACTAGACATGTCTTGCTTGTTTTTACTGTTTGGTGATCAATAGAAATCTCAGTCAGGGGCCGGCCCGGTGGTGCAAGTGGTTAAGTGCGTGTACTCCGCTGCAGTGGCCCGGGGTTCGCAGGTTTGGATCCCGGGCGTGCACCAACGCACTGCTTGGCAAGCCACGCTGTGGCGGCGTCCCATATAAAGTAGAGGAAGATGGGCATGGATGTTAGCCCAGGGCCAGTCTTCCACAGCAAAAAAGAGGAGGATTGGCATTGGATGTTAGCTCAGGGCTGGTCTTCCTCACAAAAAAAAAAAAAAAAAGACATCTCAGTCATCATGACTGTTAGTCATAACAGTAAAGTTCTAAAGAGAATGTACTCTGTTTCTCAAAGAATCTGACTTATTAAAAAAAAGTGTCCTGGCCTTTTTTTACATTTGCATTTGAATAGAGATCAAATCTTTGAAATGCCGTTAAGGATAAGGACAATTCTTAGACATGTTTATAGAAACCCAGTGTTTTGGAAAAGGATGAATGGTCTTCAGTAACTTTAGTCAATCCAGATGTGAAAGTAGATCCTGAAGGGTGATCTGTCTCATGTGTAAGATTAGGTAGTAGATGTCAGTGAGATGGGCATTTCATTACCATAGTGATGGCACTTTATGACATCTCTGTGGAAGTTGCGGTATATCAACCCCTGAGGAGTAACTCTAAAAACTTTGAAGCTGGAGAATAATTTCTCTGGCCTGTCAATTCTGGTGGCCTAAATAAACATAGTATATCAGTGAACTAAACTACCTAGAGCTGTTTGGTTTGATCCTGAGTATCTCAAAGCACCCAGATTCAGGATACATATTATCATCATTCCCAGATCTCAGAGTTTCCTCAAAAGAGGGCATCCACATCTATATTTCTATATATTTCAACTAAATGTATGTATTAACTCTTAGGTTTGGCTCTCTTAATTCCTTTGCAAGTTTCAAGCAATAAGTGAGGCAAAGTCCATTGGTAGGTTACTTTTTGTTTAGTTTAATTTTAAAGATATTTTTCCATATATCAGATATATAATATATATTTAGCATTATTTATGCAAAAGTTTATTTATTACATAGTATACATAAAATAAAAATATAAAACCATAGCAGATTTAATAAAATTCTCTCTAAAAGAATTAGATCTATTCCTATTCTTCAGGAAAGGAGCTATAAAAAATCTATACTTGCATTATGTTCTTAAGGTCCAACCAATAAAGAAAAAGTGCAAATTAAGAGTTTACTTTAGGGCCCAGGCCAGTGGCGTAGTGGTTAAGTTCGCGCGCTCCACTTCGTCAGCCTGGGGTTCACTGGTTCGGATCCTGGGTGTGGACCTAGGCACCGCTAATCAAGCCATGCTGAGGCAGTGTCCACACAGAGCAACTAGAAGGATGCACAATTATGTAGATGATGTACAACTATCTACTGGGGCTTTGGGGAGAAAAAGGAAAAAAAGAGGAAGATTGGCAACAGATGTTAACTCAGGGTCACTCTTCCTCAAAAAAAAAAAGAATTTACTTTAGAGTTTATGTCTGTGCTGTAGGTTAGTTATTAGGCCTAAAATGCCAAAACCATCCCCATAAGCCTTCTTTAGGGAAAAAATGCTCAAGGTGAATAGACCACTCATACTTTTTGCTTTCAGAGGCATTATATCATTTAATCTTTACAACAAAACTGCAATGTAATTATTATTATCCACATTTTACAGATGATCAATTTGTACAATTCATTTGTACAATTAAAAAAATTTTTTTAATTTTATGTGCTTCTTACCGCAATTTAAGCACATGACATAAATCTTGACCATTTTTAAGTGTACAGTTTGGTAGTGGTAACCACATTCACATTGTTGTACATTTGTGCAATTTAGAAAGATTATTGGCAGCAGGTCAAAAACAAAATGTTTGGCCACAGTCAAATATAGTCTGGTAATTTGAAAATTCAAATTTTAGAAACACATAATAGAAGCTTTTCATCACTTCACTGATGACAAAATTACTAGGAAGGTTATAGTTCATGAATGTGGTAATGAGCCAAAAATTAGTTTTCTTTTTGCCTATACTCTTCTCATTAAGCATATATATTTTACCCCTTTGCTTGTATTTATGACATAGACTTACTTGCAATCTTACATTGAGGGCATAGGTCTGGTGCATAGTATTATTTCACCTCCCAAAGATGTAAGCAGAAAATAACAGATTCTACTATTCTGACATCAACCTGATCTGAAAGCTCCATACAGGCATAGTTTAGAAAAGAGCTACTGAATTTAAATTAGTAAGAGTTGAGGAAAAACTATGCGTAAAATGGACAAGAGTTCTTGCGAGAGCAGCAGACATAAGACAGCAATAAATTAGTATTACAGCACAGGATCACTTTATTCTGGCTTTGTGCCATTTATAGACACTAAAACCTGGAAAGAGCAGAAATCCCTTTGAACTTATATTTGCAAAACCTTGTGTCCATTCTTTTATCTTCTGAGTTTCCTTTATTTATTTCTCTTTATTTCCTCATACCACTGTCTATGCTCTCTTGGGTACAGAATCAGCTTAGATATCTGTTTGAGTGGCCCTGATTTACATGTGGCAGTTTGCTTACCCAGAGAAAGGTATTGAGGGTTGAATAGAATGCAGTTTGGCTGTAGCTCAATAGAGGGAGTAGAGGAGCTGAGAGAGAAGCGAGAGCAAAAGAACGCGTCTGGCTAGGTAAGTGTGCGCGCACCCAAGCCCGTGCCCTAGCCCGCCAGGAGGAGGAGGGGCGGGAGGCGGAGTGGACGCCTCTAGCTGCTCCCCCCTCACTTTGTGTCAGCAGGTAGAGAGCGTGATTGCAGTCCCAGGGGAGGGAGTCAGAGCTAGAACACCAATTACAAACCACAGGCTTCCTCCTCTAAGGAGTTGATCCAGAATTGTCTTTCTGGAAGGGAAGCACTCGAATCCTTCCGAACTTTCCAAGTCCATCCATGATTCAGAGATATTGCCTTCTCCCTTTGGGATTTTCTGTGTTCCTGGTAGTGAATTGTTGCTGATGTATTTGCTACTTTGCTTCTTTTCTCTTTCAAGATTTGATCATTTTATATGCTGATCGGGGAGAAAAAGAACTTTTGTTAGAAAGGAAATTTCAGAAATGATTCTGGATCCTCTATAAGTGTTTTTAGAGTTCTTGGGGACAGTAGCTCTAACCTTGGAGTAAGTTTCTGCCTTTGACCTGCATGGATTATTTTTTCAGGCTGCGGAATTTCTCGGCACCTACCTGCAGTGTGGGGCACTTGGTTTGGTTGCAGAGTAAGAAGGTGGAAGAATGAGCTGTACTTGGTTAAGCAGTTCAAACCTTTTTTGAGCAGGATCTATAAAAGCATAATTGAATTTGTTTCACCCCCGTGGATTCCAGTGGGCCTGGCAGCGCAACAGGTTTGCAGATTTCTTTTGAAATTCTTTTTTTTTTTTTCTCCCTCTGCCTCAGCAAAAGAAAAGAATCTATATAACAGGTTCATGTTCAATTGCTTGGCTTTTCAGCACTTATTCTGAAGACTTTATATGATTTTTTAACTAGACCTCTGAACACAGCAGGCTTTGTGGTTGAAGTGCATTTATATTTACTTAAGGGTGCACATTGTAAAATCTTAGAATAAGATTTTGTTCGTACAAAGACTCAAATTCTCAAGTGTGCCTAGAAATAGCACAGATCTACTGTACTCAGGCTTATTTTTACTTTTTCAGGGTGTTCTGCTTAGAGCCTGTAGACTAATCACCTCTCTACTCCCCTATCTTTTATTCCCCACCCCCTCAAGGAATTTGAAAACGTGTTAGGAATAGTCCTTTGTTTTACTTATGAACCTAGAAAATTACAGATTGTAAGAGCTGGATAATAAAGTAGTTTCCAAAAGCATCTCATGGGAAATCAAAGTGCTTGACATTCTCATGCAGGAGAATAAAAGCTGGAATCCCTAAGAGTGAAAGGAAAATAAAGACAGAAATATGCATTTTAACTGAGAAAAATAATTGGAAAACTGCCCTTTTCAAATATTCTTCTAATTTTGAAAGTTGGAAAAGGTTGTGATGCTCAGGATTATCTTGTAATGTGTGAAAATATATAAATTAACACCTAATTTATAGGCAAATTTAGATAGGACATTAAGAAAATTATAGTATATTTAAGTTCATGGAAAGTGTTATAAATTCAATGGGCCTAGAACTTTGGCTCCACCAAAATACAGTTTAATGTGGAATATTTTATGAGTACATGTTGTAGCATCTTTGGATATCTCTCAAGGGTAGCCTGAAATATTGTTCCCTCTTCTTCCCTGTTAAAAAAAAATTCTCCTGTGATTTGACAAATTTTGTGACTTAAAAAGGACCATCTCTTCATTTTCTGAGCTGGGGTTTTGCACTCTCACCTTCGATGCATGGCCTTGGTGGTCTACTTTGCCTTATTTTGTTCATTAACATTGGGTTCAGTGGCTCGGCAACTTGATGCATATGGAAGACCAGCACCAAGTGATCTGACATAATAAAAATTCAGGATGTGACATTCAACCTCAAGCAAAGTTGGAAATTCCATAGAGAAGTGGTGATATCTGTGCTAATCATAGTGAAGATGGGAGAAAATGACATACCTGCAGCAGAAGTGGGCTGAAAACACCCTCTTCCCTGCCAGATCAGGAATGCCACCTGTTCTTGGAAATATGCTTTAGAGAAAGGAAGGGCCAAAACTACAACTTGGCTTTCTGAAACTGAAGCATAAATTCTGTTTTCCTCCATTTGTCTGGATCTGAGAACCTGCATTTGGTATTAGCTAGTGAAGCAGTATGTATGGCCGAAGTGCATTGCTGCAGCTGGTAGCATGAGTGTTGGCCACCAGCTGCAGCTGGCTGCCCTCTGGCCCTGGCTGCTGATGGCTACCCTGCAGGCAGGCTTTGGACGCACAGGACTGGTACTGGCAGCAGCGGTGGAGTCTGAAAGATCAGCAGAGCAGAAAGCTATCATCAGAGTGATCCCCTTGAAAATGGACCCCACAGGAAAACTGAATCTCACTTTGGAAGGTGTGTTTGCTGGTGTTGCTGAAATAACTCCAGCAGAAGGAAAACTAATGCAGGTAAGGATAACTTTAATAATTTCCCTTTCCATCTGTTTGAAATATGCCTTTCTTCTTTTGTCTCCCAAACCAAGTACCATATAAGGGCTTCTGCTGCTTAGTTTTCTATTTGTTCCATCTTTTAAGGATATTGCTTTATTGGTATTCTAAAGCAAATTATTAATTTATACTCGAGAAGAAACATATAAATCCTATATTTTAGAAGATCATCTGCTTATATTTAACTCTGGTATTACATTGTCTTTTTAGATACGCATAATAAGACCTTTCTTTGCAAGTGATATATTCTGGACACTATTTTTTGAGAAATGAAATCTGTGGGCTTATATTTAATTGACCTGACGGTTATACTTTATACACTGTTTAAATTTGAAGTGATCGCTAAGGAGGTTGATTTTAGTGATCAGCAGCACCCTGAAGTCTAGAATGCTCTTGGAGCATATTTGATCACTGTGTCACTTTTAAAATTCAGTCAAGCTTGAATGCTGCGGCTGGCTTCATACCACGTGTGGCACCCTATTGCTAAGCCCAAAATGGAGAGGACTGGATTACAAAATGGACACAAGGTGTAAACTTGCCTCCTGATCACTTTGGTGTTGTCTACACATAATTTTATTATTTTCAAAAATTTTTAATTTAACGTCTGTTTTTTATTGACATACAGAGTTTTTCAGACACAGTTTCTTAGGCTTTCAGGGTGTGAATTTTGCCTATAACTCATTCATAGCCTACTCTTTATGTGTTGAATTTACGAACTGACTGGGGCCGTAGCATTTTGTAGACTAACTGCTCATTCCCCACGCTAAGGATAGAGCCTAGAGGGCTGTACCTTTTTAATGTGGCATTCTGGTGTCTTATTCCATAAAATTATGTTGCTTATTGATTAAAATTCATTTTATAAAAGGACACTTCTTGCTGTAGCTCTTGGATACAGCTTAAAGTGTTGTTAAATATGATTTATCTCAGCACCCAAGCTCAGATTTTTATTTTGTGATATGACCAGAACCAGATTATTATATGAATTTAAATTTTTGTCTACTTAGAGAAAGAAGGTAAGAAAAATTTAGTAAATTATAGAACTCTCTTTTCCAAATACAAATTTTTACCTATTTGATTTAGTGGTTCTTCACGATCACTTCCTAGGCAATATTTTGAAGCTGAGATAAGTGAAGTGGAAGAAGAATTGGGTGAAATGGAAGGCATGGCTATTTAGAAAAATAAATAGGCAAAAAAGAATGTATCTGGAAAAAATGGCATAAGAGTTTTTGAATAAGAGTCCATTCATTTAATTTGAACTCTAGGATGGAATGAGGAATATTTAAAAGTTGAAATCGTAAGTCATTTTGAATACAATTGGAAAGGAAACTTACTTCCTTAATACCCTTGAAGCATGAGGTATGTGCTCCATTTAAATTTTTTATCCTGAGTAACTTTATTATAGAATCATATTTTGATATCTCTGAGGAGGTTTGATATCATTGGGAACCATACTAAGCTTTATGCCTTGTTAATATCCTGTGGCCACATGTTCAACGGGTTAATTATATGCTGCAGAGTGTCCTCTTTTATTTTAAATTTGTTATCTTCTATTATCATAAAGCTCTACATAAAGTTTCTGTGTATTCATAAAGGAAAAGGTATATAAGAGGCACTAGCTGGCATTCTCTTTGCCATTCATTATTTTGTCAATCTTTATCATAGCTTCTCTTATTCTGCCCTTTTTCTCACTCTGGTAAATCTTGCTAATCTTTTTTTTTTTTTTTTTAACTATTAACTTTGAGCCTATCAGTATGCTTTAAGTATCATTTCTTTACTTTTGAAGAGGGAATTTCATTGTGTCTGTTATTTAGCAAGGCCTGTCAGGCTTCACAGTAGATAGTTTGAGTCGTTGGCAGTTTTCGGTCATTCTTCTCCTTTTCTGTCCACATAAGCTTCTTCTAGGTCGTTAATAAATTTGTACACTAACCTAGTATTAATCTTTGGAGACTTTCAGTGTTGGTTCTGGTTTATTGTCTATTAATCAATTTTTAATCCACAATAGTTACTAAACTTTCTTAATTATCTCTTATGAGAGACTTGATTTAAAAAAAACAAAAACAACCTTTTGAGTGATATGCCTCAGTTCTTCTTTATCCACTATTTGATTAATTCTTTCAAAGAACTCTGGTGGGTTAGGGACACATGGTTTACACTTCTAGAATCCCTGCTGCTTGTTCCTTATCAGCTTACACTGCAACTCAGGTTTACACAACTGTGGGTAACCAAGCCTTCCATTTGGCTGAAGTTCTGTTTCTCGCTCCTAGAGTTGTGCTTTGCTGCTCTTTAGCTTTCTTGGTGGGTAGCTGTGCCCTGGTGTGACAAATCTAAAGGCGGTCTTCTCTGCTGGCTTTGAGGAATCTTGGCTAATTCTGTGTATCCTTCTACCTATGAATTATTCTAGCTACCTGTCATGTTTGATTGTCTTCAAAGATGCAGTCAGGTCTTTGTAAAATTGGGGATGCTGTGCATTGGGAAATGTAAACGTATGAGAACAGTGATTTAAAAAAATAATAATAATCTTGTTGTGGTTTCTGGAGTTCCCAGAGAGTTTCTGAAATTCTCACGTTTCTTTTCATTTTGCTTAATTAATTTAGGGTTAGGGTATGTGCAATTTCATAAGGACCAAATTAACTGGAGTTTCATTTGTATTACAATTTTAATTTTTTTTAGACAAAAAGAGACATCCTTTGTCAATGTGCCCACAATTTGTTTAATAGCAAATTAGACCATAGAATTGTCTCTAAAATAATTTTGCTTGTCTCAACTTCATCTGATGGCTGTGTATACAAGGGCGTTAAAGCCATGCCTTGGTGAATTTTTGTCCTGATTCTTATTCCTCACACTTTGTGCTTAGGTTTCTCTTTACCAACAATAATATCCATTTTACAAGATATATTCAGTTTTAAATTGTAATATTCTTTTTAAAGTACTAGAAGGTCAAAATAAAAGAGGAAATATTGCTTTTACTATATTCCCTTTGTTTCTCAAGTCCTCTCTTTTCCCTTTCAAAGCTCCCCATCTCAGCCCTGACCAAATCATATTGCTTTCCTTTCTATTTTGCCCAAGAGCTGCTGCTTTGCGTTACCATATCATTTCAATTCCATGTGCAGGTTTGCCTTTGTCTTTAAAGTGTCTACTCTTAGGTTTCCCCTACATTTGCCAAAATCTTTGTCTCTTCCTCTTCCTCTCTGATTTCCTCTACTTTTTTTATCTTTGTTTTCCACTGAATTTTTATATTTAGTATAACCTTCCATTGCTGTTCTGATCGGTATTTTGCTAACTAGCCATCAAAAATCTGTATCAAAAAAAGAAAATTTGTAACTATGTGTAGTGATGGATGTTAGCTAAATGTATTATGGTAATCATTTCATAATTTATCCATATATCAAATCATTTTGTACACCTAAAACTAATACAATGTTATATGTCAATTATATCTCAAAAAAAAAAGAAAGTGGGAGACCAAAAAAAAAAAAAGAAAAAAAAATCCATGTCAGGGAAACTTTCCAGATCTAATTACTTGGCGGCGACTAATAAAGAGGACTAAATAATAGGGATTATAACTTCTTACTATTTTGATTTTTCATTTGGATATTTTCGTTTTCTCCTGGTTTTACCATTGGAGATGGGGAACATGCTGGAGCTTATGCATTGTCTGATAGTCCAGTTTTCTGATTTGTTTACCTCATCAGTGTTTGTTTCTATTATTTCTAGTAATGTTGTTGCTACCACTTCTAAAAATGATTACAGTCCTATTTTCTTTCTCAATTCTTGTTCCTCATTTATAAATGTTACTTACAGGGACAACTCAAAATTCATCTTTGTTCTCAAAGCAAAAGAGCAAGAGGATCTTAGTGTAGCTCAAAAGAGGTCGCCAATTCTTTAACCATCACACTCTTCCTGCTCAGCTGGTTGTCCTGGATTTTCTTAGACTCCAGGATAAAGTTATGCTCGAGATTAGAATGTGCTGCCCTGAGGCTTCAGACCTACAATGCGAGCCATGGTGGTTTAGCATTGGGCCAATAGCAGTGAACACCTCCTGGACAAATTCCCCTGTGCACAATGTCTCTGCTTGCCCTTAATTTACCTGTTAGTCAACACGTAGTTATCCTATCTTTGTGTTTTTACTTTATTTGTAGTCAGGGCCTGAAATGAATTATTTGGGGAGGGAGAGAAAACTTGATAATTAAAGTTTTGGCCAAAGCCAGAGAGAGTGAAATATAGGGACAAATGATAGTTGAGAAAGTGACTAAACTGTGACCCAAAGGACTTGACTTTTAGCTCTGAATGTGCCACTAAGTAGTTGGGTGATTTGGGACACATTAGTTTTTACCTTTCTAGGCTATAGATTGGCTATCTGTAAAACTGAGGGATTGAAATATAATAGTGCATAACGAACTCATGCTATGTACTCTGCATGTATTAGCTCATTGATTCCTCATAATAACTTCATGAGAGAAATACAGTACTTTTATTTTTCATATTTTATGGATAAGGAAATTGGCTCCAAGTGTTAGTATCTGCCAAGGTCATGTAGCTAGTAGGTGGCATAGCTGAGACTTGAACCCTAGAGCCTACTTCTCCAGCTCTAAAATTCTGTACCTCTAAGAATGCCGCAGATGAACAGAACAACAGTGCAGGCTTTGTATAAGTGATGAATTTACTTCCAGAATAGAAAGGAATGAAAATGATGAGTACTATTCCGAGATTGATCCAGAATACACAATATCCTGCTAACTTCTAATTATCTTTGTATGTCTTCTCATTTGTGTTTCATTTGCAAAGATATTTGTAAATCACAGTGTTTATTCACTCAGTATCTCCCTTTTAATGTAACAACTTTCTTTACCTTCCTCTTCGTTTTATAACAGTTTATGGTAAGTTATCTAGTACGGGAACCTGACATAATAAGCTTTGATATAGCATGCATTTAACTGTCATTGCTGAAGTTAGAGTTCCTT